TTCTATGATTCTATGTGAGTGCTACACAGAATTTCCAGAAAGGTATTAATCTGAATCAAACTCTAACCATATTAACTTTAAAAAATAAGCTGATTGTACTGCACAGGGAATAATTAGGCTTATTGTTGAAGAAGGCATAGGTTTGTCTTTTTGCCTGTGCTAGGAGCAAAGCAATCTTTTTTAATGAAGTTAATTTTATTATCCGCAGTAGCACCCAAGGACCCTGATCACACTGTAGATATACGGTGCATAATAGAGAAGAGAGAAAGCTCTGTCCTCCAATGAGCCTACAGAACAAAATGTCAGCAGAGACATAATCTGTGGACGTGTGCAGGGGTTGTCTTGATTCACTATAGCAATAACACCTCAGATTTTGTGCTGTGTTGATGAAATTCTGGTTTCTGGTCAACGCAGTTTGTGGGTAGAGTAAGTTTTTATCTGCCCAAAATTAATTTCACAAAAAAATACCCTCTAAAGCTTCTGTCACTTTTCAAATATGTAAAATGAAAATAACTAGTAAACACATCTCACAAGTAACTTGTTCATCTCTGAGGGATATTTGAAGTTTAGAGATACTATGGTTTGGAAATGCTAAGTAGTATTGTCAGATATTGAACCACAGTTTGACTCCTTAATTGGATTTAGTTTCTGGTGAAAGGAAGAACCTTGTTTTGAATGATCATGAATGGAAACAGAAGAAACAAGAGGACTGAAGTCAGTTTCCAATTCAGTGTCAGCTCTGGCAACTCATATATTTTTTTTTTCTGTGTGAAATAAAGCTAGACAGGCATATTGATAATGGAGGGATGCGCTTCCATGATGCTGACAGAAGACAGAAATACCAGGATGGCTGAACACCTGTCCATAGACAGCACCCCATACTAAACTGATCTCTTAATAGAATTATGTGTGTATTAAAACTGACAACATAGGTCCCACTTAACGATAAGAGWTAGACTTTTTGTAAATCAGAAAGAAAAAAAATATAAATCATGATCAGTAACCAGGAACAATAAGCCAAGATCAAATGTGATCCTTGGATAAATAAAAATGAAAGTTCACAGTAAAATACTGCATTAATATGTGTAGAATGACAATACTACATCCTATTTCAGAGTTTACACTTTAGAAAAGATGTTGATAAATGGTGAAGATTGAGAAAAGGCTTCAAAGGATGAATCACGGTCTGGAAAATCTGCCTTGCAGTAAGAGACTGAAGAAGTAGAATCCAATTATCTCAACAATAAGAAGGTTAAGGGGTGATTAATAATGATCTGTAAGCATGTAAGTTGAAAGAAATTAATAGCAAAAGGCTCTTTATTTTAACAGACAAAGTCAAAATGAAGTCCAAGTTTTTTAAGACTACAGATCAGGAACGTGATTCTGACAGCGAGAATAATTATCCATTGCTAAAATGAAGGCAGGTAAAGTAGGATCTGCACAACCTGAAATATTTACTTTTTGTTGTTGTTACCAATTTATCAACTTGCACCCTTCAGTTCAAAAGAAACTTGTTGGCTTAACAAAAAAAAAAAAAAAAAAAAAAAAAAAAAAAAAATTACCTGACAAAACACTTAGCCCGAATGTTGTAAAAGGTCTTGGTAGATAATTATAATCAATCTTTAACTTTATGCAAGGAAATCCTGAGCCTATCAACTGTGTCCATTTTTCCAAGGCTGAAATCTTGGAAATAGATTGTAACTAAAAAGTCAGGAACATGTTCTTGGAAGGTTCTACTGAGTATTTATTCTTATAGTACATCATGAAGTAGTCTGGCTGTACGGATGAGATTCTGTAGCATATTTGTCACTTATATGACATGTAGCAAAACAGCAGTGTGCATTTTATTAGCATTTTTGAATTTGGTAATATATATATGCTTTTTTAGTTGTTATTTCTCTAAACCTCTGTAATTTTCTATGAAATAGTTATAGATCACCAAATGATATGAAGATAAGCCACATATGAAATAAAACATTTTTATAAAGTGCAACATTTTAAAAGTATGCAACTAGGAAATGCCCACTATTTCCCCAAATATCTCTTTTCTGTATATTTACTTCAGAATTAACTCTGCATATTTTTCATGTTTGCTTGGAGGGCCTGATGGACTTTTTTTCTGTTTTGTAGGTAGGCATGAATTTCTTTTGGAGGTCTCATTTGCTTTAAGTCTTACCAAGGAATACATCTGCTATCTACTCTCATCCTTCTTCTCTAAAGTGAAAATGCCTTATGGATTTCAGCCTGTGTAAGATGAGCCTCTTGAACAATGAAACTGGTGAGAAACTCTATTCTAACTGCAGGAATTGTATTGAGAATATGCAAGCATTGGTTCATTCTTGTACAAAAGAAAATGAAAGTACATTGGCCTAATGAATATTTGGCAAATGAATATCTGAGTTAGATGATGATGCAGACAACAGAGCAGAGAGTAAAGGCACAAATAGAAAGCCCCTCTTGCTCTGCTTCAAGTTTGTGTTTGGAATATAACTTATTTGAATAACTAGCCAAAATTAAAAAAAGATTTGAGATACAGTTTCTTTTTTTTTCAATGGGTATCTTTATGTTTTGTGTGTGTGTGTTTGTGTGTGTGTGTGTGGTTACTCTTAGCATTAGTATGCAAGACAATAAATCTGTCTAAAAATAAATTTGTAGAAAATTTCCAGTAATTGGACATGGGAGACCAAATCATGCTTTGCTTTGACAGTCACAAAATGGAGTGTCATAGGATGGAACCCAGCAGAGTTTGGCCTGTCTTCGGTCAAACTGTCATGTACTGTGATTTCTTTAGATTTCATTGTTTACAAGGAGAGTCAACTTGGGTTAATATTAGAACACAATGTCTCCTTGTAACAAGTGATAGCATTATTTAGCAAGTGGCATTTTTCTTCTGGAGTGATTGTTCCTGGTCTCCTGCTTACTGTTGTAAGCATGCAGTGGATTGCTGCTGTTGCCATCTCAAGTAATCCACAACTTTCAGATGTACATTTAGCTTTTTGAAAGTTGTGAGAAAGGGAGGGTTAATTATACTCATCTGACCAAATGTCTTTTATTTAAATCCTTTTTCCTTTTTTAGTGGGAAGGGAAAGGAAGACAAGATCTTTCACTTTTGATCTATCATATACTTATGTAGAGTCTATGAAAGGTTTGATTTTAGCCATGTACTTGTGGATATTTACGACTGAGTTGGAAACATTGGAAGTGATCTTACAGTAGCCTTTAATAAACTGCCTCCTCATTCCAACACAGGTGGGAGATCATTATTCAAATTAACTAGTGCATACTTTAATAACCTCCAAATCTATTTTGTAAAGCGCATGACATACTCATCAAAATAAAGACTGTCCTGCAAAATTTGGGACAGATGGCAGTGCAAGATGACATCTTTTCTAAATGTGTCAGAATGTTCACTCAGTCGAGCAACGTGATTGGTTGCACATTCTGGGTGCATTATTAAAATAACAAAAGCAGTAAAATTCACTTGCATGAACACCTGCTACTAGAGTCACTTAAAATAAGTAAGGCAAAACATGTAATTAAGTCATACAAAAATAATTATTTCACTGGCAAATAAGTTAACAGTTTTATGGAGCTGTTGCATTGCTTGAAGTGTTTTTTTTAAGGCAGTGAATTATATCTATGCTCCGATTTACAACATCTACAAGCAAAATATGCCTTCCTAAGGTGATGCTGAAAAAGTTATATAAGTTACACAAGACAAACACATACATCTGTCTGGTCTGCTGCTGTTTTCTAGATGGTGTCTTGAATAAGACAACATACATTTTATCACCTAAAAAAAAAAAAAAAAAAAGGCAAAGAAATGGTAAAGTCAACACCTCAACACTTGCGCCAGAATCCAGATATGAGTACCCAAAGTGCTGTCTTCTGCTCTTCTCTAAGGATCTGCCATAATTGGCTAAGTAGGTAGAAACAAGGAACCTAGAACAAAGCAAAAGAGAGCAGGTAACTCTCAGAGTTGTATTTTTCTTTTTTCATAGTTTTAAAATGTCAAAGACTCAGTGTCTAAAGGCTAATCTATGTCTCGTGACAGGAAGGCTTATTATGGAACAAATTGGATCTTTGTTTAGAATTATGCAAAGATTGTCAAGAGCCCTTTACCCTTTTGTTCTTGGCTTGGGGAAACTCAGGCAACTCTCAGCTGGTTTCAGTTCAGGATTGCACACTTTGGGTAATACTAAGTGCCATTATTAAACTGACCAAAGGAACATACTGTGCAGTCAAACAAGGCATCAGTTGGAGGCCTGAGCATGTATTTGTTACAGCACCTTCTGTTTGAAATTAYAGGCAAGATGTAAACCAGAGTTCCTCATTTGTAGTACAGAGCACTAAACACAGGGCCCCCTCTTCAGCCTTTACACTTGACCTTTGCAACAGTGTTTAGCTGACTAAAATAAGGACTTCAAACAGCTAGTTTCCTTAAGGAAAAAAAGAATCTAACTGAAATATCTGTCTAYTGGGCATATGTCTACTTTGCTATATTTCTGTGGGAGGAAAGGTGACAGGAGCACAKCACTTCAGTGACTGACAGGCAGCATGAGCACATTTCATCACAGCAGGTAGGTCCTGCTGCCACTTGAGCTACCCTCTGCAGCAACTGCTGCTTTAAAGGGTTAACAAGGACTGCACTTGCATAAGTCACTGGAGCAGGAAGAGCAACAGCAAAAATGGTGTGCTTCCCCCCACACACCCTTCAACTCCACCCCCCCCCCCGCAATTGCACATGTGTAAAACGCCCACCTGTTCAACCGTGCAGCCACCCTGGATAATTCGGTCCTCGCTGCTCTGCACTCGGATTAGATGCTCTTTGCAAGGGGTTGTGGATGGAGATACGGTTTCTGTAGTGATGGGGCAGACTGCGGAGAGCTATTGGCTGCCGGCTCAGGAAATTTCATTCAGTTTGGTCCAATAGCAGGAGGAGAGAGCTTGGTACAGCCTGGACCTCTCTCTCTCTCTCCTCGAGCTCTCTTTTCCTTGCAGATCAGTCTCTCTCCCCATCTCTGTCTCTCTGCATAGGCAATCAGAGCTCGAACGCGCAGACCCAACTCTCTCTCTCGCACTGGCTGTAATGAATTTTCTGCCTGAATGTAGGTCGCTTCCAACTGCAAGCACAAGTTTCCTTCCAAACCAGTGTTGTTGTTTTTCCTGTTGTTATTTTTAATTTTTTTTTCTTTTCTCTGTGGCCATTGCATTCCTTTGGAGCAGCAAATCGCTTTGGATTCCAAAAAGAAGAGCAGGAACCGTGTGTGAATGATTCTGGCTGTAAGATACCCTGAGAGGATTTCCTGGCGATGTAAAAAAGACCCTTATGTATCTGCAGCTATTGCAGTGTTAAGGTAGGAGCACTGGATACACCATCTGCATGTTCATTTTCATTTWTTTTTCCCTGTTGCTTTTTATCTTTTTTTTTTTTATTTTTTTTTTCTTCCAGCGGGGTGCGGGGTGCAGGGAGGGGGAGAGGTGTTGCAGTCGGTACTCTGGTAAAGGGCAAGCAGTTTGCTGCAGTCGTCTGGGCTTTTACTTTTCATATCATTATAAAGCGATACTTTCTTTCTGCCACCACCACCATCAGATGCGATCTCACTGTCACATATGCATATTTATGCAAATTTATTTCATTTTTGTCCTCTTCGGTCTCGCCCCCACTAGCCCCCTTGCACCATAATTTGTTTGGAGGCATTTTGCTGCAATCAGCTATTTGGAAAAGGCTCTGAGGTTCTGTGTGAGATGTTTACAAAGTAGCTCTGCCTTCCAGCCAAATAAACAGAAGACTGTGGAGGAGAGCAGGGAAAAAAAAAAATATCTGCAATACAGAGAGAGAGAGAGAAAAAGCAGAGCCTGTTTCCAGCAAACGTAGAGAGGGGCTGGAGAGGCACCGCGTGTGCGCCCAGGGTTTTGGGGGAAAAACCCTGCCAGCACGTAGGGCTCTGGTTAACCACTTCCCTCACCAGCACCGCCACCAGCACAGAGGAGAAAAGGGAGGGGGTGAGGGGAGGAACGAGGAGGGAGGAGGCTGCTGAGCGGAAATCTTGGCTCGTCTTGGATTAAGCGGTTCACCCGTTCCCCCATCCCCCCCC